CCCCCCCTAAATAATGTCAGAAAGCTGCTTGCTGGACTACCCCCTCCATCCAAAAGCATCAAATCTCAATGGAAATCTCCAAATGTTGAATAGACATCTCCATCCAAAAGCCTCCAAAAGCATCAAATCTCAATAGAAATCTCCAACTGTTTAATGGAAATCTCCATCCAAAAGCCTCCAAAAGCATCAAATCTCAATGGAAATCTCCAACTGTTTAATAGAAATCTCCATCCAAAAGCCTCCAAAAGCATCAAATCTCAATGGAAATCTCCAACTGTTTAATAGAAATATCCATCCAAAAGCCTGTAAGATAAGCAAATCCCAGCAAACTCAAAAGGGAAAAAGAAAACTATAACAATAAAAAATATCCCACTACAACTACCCCTCCCAAAAAAAAAAGACATTATTCTGGGGGCCTTTATAAATCTGTGCAGGAAAAAAAGTGACATTATTCTAGGGGCGTTTATAAATCAAAGGTCAACATTATCGGTATATACTTATTTGTAATTATTGGTTTAAGTCGCATCTACTTGTTGAAAGTTGTATTGCAGTTTGTATATGCATGTGAAGATTGCTGAAAACTTCATCATCGTCATCGTCATCATCATCATCGTCGTCATCATCATCACCTTCGCAACGCGGTCCGAGGATTTTCGAAGACATGGACGAGTCTGGTTCTGGGGACCGCAATGGTTGCTGGGCTGTCCCAGCTTTGGCCCATTCGGAGGTGCGTTCCCCATTTGTTTTTTCCACTTCGCACCTGAGAAGATTCGTGTCCCAGACTTCTTCAAATTACTCAGATCATTGACGGAAGCAAAGACCAGGTGCAAAGTCCGTAGATAGAGCTTTTATTGCAGCTGATCAGCTGATGAGTCTTTTTGCATCTCTTTCCGATTCTTGATTTACCTAACCCCATATTAACCTCAAACATTCCAAAACACAACCCACCACCAGGGAAGAATAATTGGTGGATGAATGATGAATGAATATGGATGATCCTGGCGAGGGAATGCTAAAAACGCCACAAAATCAGGAGGTCATACCGTTATCCCCCTTGGATGTTGAGTGGATTCCCACTTTTGGGGGAGGATGAATGTGTTTTTGTTTCTGGCGCGGTCTGAGGAAAGCTGAGCAAGTCCGAGTTCGAGGCAAAGATCAGAACTGAACGGCACAAACTTGAAGAATCGCTGATCGAAGCGACGCTCGGCAGACGAATCGAGCGACACATTCCGTCCGCAGACTGGAGCTTCCAAACCATTCGGGGGAAGAGCTTCCTGGTCGTTTTGGACATTAAAGGCAATTGTTGTGACATTAATTGGGGGGGTCCAGCATGGTCTCAGGGTGGCGGGCTTTTTGATCTGTTGGGACATTATATTTATTGGCTTTTCGATGCTTAGCTTCGCTTCGTGGCTGACGTTGAAACCGGGACTCGAAAATTGCATGGCTTGAGGGCAAGACGTTCGATCTTTCAGAGTCGTTGATCACAGCACCCAATGTAATGTAGTCTCTCAATTGATTGATATACATTGATAACCTCCAAAATGTTGATTTGGAAAAGCTCTTCATTTGGTCTTCCTGAATCCCTGAAGCCCACGGACTGGCCCTGAGCTTCACCAGGCACATTCCCTCCGATGTGGAGCATCTGCGTGAGCTTTTCGAATTACGATCCAAGCAGCCGGCCTCTGACAAGGCACCGGTGGCGCGAGTGCTCGTGCGACTGCATGCGAGATGTAGAAACAGGACGAACATGGACGAACAAACACAGACATTGACACCTACCGTGAAGAGTCGTGAAGTGTGAAGGTTTGGACGGTTGGCAGACGGCTTCTGAGCCACGTTTTGGGCAGGAAGGTGTAAGATTGGTTTAAGGATGTTTACGTATTCTGATGCCAGGGTGCTGTATGGTGTTTGTATAGCCCAAGCACTCACGACCCAGTCCAACTCGCACTTCCATTGACCCTCAGAGTTCACAAAATATGTTGAAGGCCTTAAAGGCTAACTCTGCTTGTGGAGTGAAATTGAAATTGAACAATAGGTAGACGATAGTAGACGTAGCAAAACAAGTAAAATCCGTAAATTTGATGTCATATGCGTAGCAGTCGGCAATGACCCTGTGGACGTGCAAGACCATCAATAGACTAATAGACGGGAGTCCCCTGTACAAAGCGCACACTGCCGCAACATACATGTATAATGTTCACAGCAGTGCCCAAGAACACTTACTTCGGACCAATAGACCGACCAGACCAGTCTACCCTGCCGATTGGGGGCGAGAGACGAAGACTTCGGGGAGGGGCTCTCCGTCGTTTTCTACGGCCCGGCTCATGGCAGGAGCCGCAGATCGAACTGGAAGACTTTGTCGATTGCTTGCATTTCCAGAGCAAGGCCTTCTTCAGATGCGAAAGACTCCGTCGAAAGCGTGTCCTTTTTAGAGGTGGAGCACTACGTATAATAGTACGTATTTATAATGTAACTCCATCCCCGGACGTTACACCAGTTTGTTTTGTTTGGTTTTCTCCGGAATTTGAGACAGCAAGTTTGTCGACAATGAGATGTGTGAGCTCAAACCCATCTTGATGTTGGGGCGAAGTCCGTCCATTATTGACAGCCTCCTGAAAACATGTACAGATGCACGGAAGACGATATTCCTCTGGACGAATCAATCGTTTTGAGCCTTGAGATATTTAGTATACCTAGAGAACCAAGAACTCCTAAAAATGTCATACCCTGAAAATACACGAGGTTTTTGATGAAAACACGAGTTTTGTTGACTTCCTCAAAACGATACGATTGCCTACGGGATTCTACGGGTTTTCTACGGTTTTCTACGGGTTTTCTACGGTTTTTATACGGGTTCGAAACTTAGTGCTTTTGGAAAAATGATGTTTTCGACAGAAACACCATGTTTTTAGTCAGGTGGAGCCCAAACACGATGTTTTCCATCAGACACGACAAATTCGTAGGTTTTGGGTTCCATTGGTATACAATGTGCCATTTGCACATATGTTTTTTCTCCAGAAGGCGGCACTCTGGTCAGAATCATGCGAGGGATGACCGCAGCCTGCTCGACACGTTCAAATCACAAAAGTCATCAATCATCATGAACATGCCCTGGACCTTGTTCTGTTGTCATTAGCATGCAGCCCCTATTGTTGGCCCCGCTGAACTCCAGAAACCCTTTGGCTAGAAGACCACCCACCCACCCACCCCAACAGTCGAAGATCTTCAGACTCCTGAGTCAAGCCATCATTCCTTCTCCAAAACGATCACCAGCGGCCGCATGCTATTCTTTTTTCAGATGGTGAGCCTGCCGCAGACCATGACCCCTGTGCCCTCCGTCCCTCGTGTGCAACCGTCGCTTCCAGCTCTTCCAACGTCAGGAGGTGAGCCAACGGACGCTGATGCGGATGGAAGGGCGCATCAAGAGTCTCCAGGCACCGGGCACCACGGCTCGGGCGTGGCGAGGTCGTAACAGAGGCACCGCGGAGGTTTTGGCTGAGTCCATCCTAAGGCTTTCCGAAGAGCCGATGGGGAAGGGCCATGCGGGATCTTTGCGTCCGACTGATCAGGGAGGTCCTGCGGAGAAGCACAACGTCTTTCTCGTTCAGGCTTCAGAAGGTTTCAAGATTTAGGCTCGGTGCAGTTGAAGTACCTGGCCGTCGTTGAAGTACCTGGCCGTGGCCGTCGTTGACGTGGCAGTCGACGGCTGTCACCGGTTGGCCCTGATAGGCAGCAAGCATCTCGTAAACAGACTCGCACATGGCAAGCTACAAGAGAGCTACTGCAACAGGACGCTAAGGCTAGTTTTGAGACGCTTCAAGGGCCAGGTGAGGTGTGGTGGGGGTAACCCAAATCAAGACATTTGCTTACATTTACTATGACGAGTGAGATCGACCAATGTAGAAGTAGAGATATTGGACATTGCCAAGCTTCTCCGTCTATCCACCAGCCAAGGGATGAAGCAAGTGTCCAAAGACAAGCTTGGCCCCACCTTTGGGACCTAGTTGTGTTCGTGTTTCGTCATGTTTTCATCCCATGAGATCCAGAAATTCCCCTTGCTGGCCCCGTAGTGCCCCGTGAACGAGTGGTTCGGTGCCCAAAAAGCCGGTCACTCCGAAAGCGCCAGAACTTGGTCTTCACGCTGATGGGTGAAGAAGTGGACTCCCCCAAACGTCATGGAACATCACCGCCGCTTGGGCCGTGGTTGTGTTCGGGGTGGGCCGTGGGGAGCTGTGTTTTTTTGGAACCGAGTGGCGTCCATGCTTCAAGAGAGATCAAGAGATACTTGTTGGCCACCGAGATCCAGTATAGCAAATACTCATCAGCCACCAGTGCAAAGACCTGACAAGAAAATGCACCAAAAAGGGAGCTGGGCGGATGGTGCTTGGCGAGACGGGCGGATCACAGTCACCGAGGGACCTCATGGGAGAGTATGGTATAATCTTTGTGTTGATAGATCATGATAGATCTAGATCCAAACATAGATATCCCTTTCTCCACAAAGGATACCGAAAGACTCCCCACAAGTTGTAGGTCTACTGCTCACGACATGACACTGACACATTGCCCACTAATGGAAGGTCTAATAAGATTGAATCACCTTATTACCAAGCCTTCCTATGGTCCCAGGTTGCAAGCTGAAACACCAGTAGCTCGACCCTTTGGCATCTTCCACAAATCCCGAGTTGATCAAGTCGGCCCTGTCAAGGCGAGCCCGAGCTCGGCGCGGAGCGGACTCGCCCGGCACCTTGTGAAGCGGCGAGCGAGTCCGGTGTTGCGAAACTGCAGGGCCGCACCAGAAGAATAACCAAGAAAAAGGTGCGACCTGAGTCAAGCTGAGGCTTTGCAAGTCAAGTTTGGTGGAAGTTTGGTGGAAGATGTTGGGTTTGGTCATTGTCCTCTTCAACTTAAGCCATTAGAATCCATTTGAAGGTTCCATGTGTTTTAGAGGGTCATCCCGTGATGTTGAGGGCAGAAGGTGTGGGGACAGATCCAGATGTTGCGTCGCGCGTGCAGATGCGTACACATGCGGTTTGCGCTCTGCACCAAGCCGCTCTTCTTTGTGCGAAGAAGCAAGACCACTGGCCACTGGATCCATGGATGTGGAATCGTTTCTGGACTACGGTCAAGGGCAGCACAGGTACTTTGAATGTGCGCTGGATGTGGAAGAGGTACATGTTCAACAGCTGTCACCACGTTGAGAGTGACCTTCTTGCCCCCACCGGTGCGGAACCAGTAGCTTGCCTGGTTGAAACAAGAACATCGGAAGCTGCGTTGGATTGTGCGCCGACATTGGAACATTGCCTTCCCTCCGTGTTTCATGGGCTCATCCCAAGCGTGCCATGAAAAGCTCCAGCATCCTTCAAGTATATACAGACTGACCCACTCCAAAATATGTGTCCTTTTTGAAGTGTATACCGCGCGGGCACGAGAATGAGACTTGAGATGAAATGGTTCCTGTTCATGGCTGGTTGGGCTCAAGATCATGCTTGCGATCTTTCTGGACCCCGGCGTTATGCCCTGTCAGGTGGTGCCCTAGGTGTTTGGGCAGGACATCGCCATGTCCAGATGATGACCAAGCTATTAGGATACTCATCGAGTAAACACCGGTAGCAAGCCGGCTTTCCTGTTTGCCTTTGGGCTTCAAGTGTAGCCTTTGGCCGACTGAAAGGAGCCACGGAAGGGGAACGGTCAGTGGCGACGATCCACGGTTTGCCTGGCGAACATCGCCAAACGTGCAGCTTTGCCGGGATCCACTGGCTGGGTCACCACTCTTAAGACCGAGAAACCTTTGAGGAACCCTTTGATCCCTTGTTGATCCCTTTGGTGAGGTCGAGTTGCGCTTGGGAAGTGGCTGTGGAGACTACCGCGCCAGAGGAGACGTGATGAGGTGATTGAGGTGATCCACATCCATCTCTTGATGCTTTTCCAAGGACTTTCTGCGCGGCCTCAGCTGAAGTGAGGATGAAAGATGATCATTAAGATCAAGAGACTGCTTAGGTCTCTCAACTTTCGCTGGGCACCTGGCTGGACAGCCAAGCCGCCAAGCCAGGATCATCAAGACTCACGGGTTCGGCCACGTCGGCTGCACGGTGCTGTGGAATTCAACGTGACAGATTTGGAGTCTAAGAGTTTTGCGACTGCACGGCCTAACCTTGTTACTAGATGATACTAGTAGCTTCTTGCTACTATAGTAGTAATGGCTTGCACCCTAGTAGCGATGGCCTCCACCCTAACAAGTCTTGTCCGAACGCAGTCAAAACAGTGCGCGGAAAAAAGGCGAAGCGACCACTCCATGATCAGAAGACTTCAGACCTCCAAGACCTCAACAGTCAACAGCCTTTCCTTTTTTGGTTTATCACTGGGTGGTGGTTTCAGATCATTGAGTTTCATGTTCAACCTTTACTTAGGATGATTGATCCCTTGGATTCATACTGTTCAAATGAGTTTAAATCACCAACCAGAAGCTGGATTCCCAGGGCCAATGGTCCAGTTCAAACGATTCGTCGCCATGCAGGTGCGCTTGACGCGCTGCGATGCTGACTGGGTCGCTGGGTGGTTCATTAGAGATTTGAAAGAACTGGGAAGTCTTAAGGCATCCTCCGTGTACACTCCAAACATGTCCAACATCCTCCAAAGATGTCCAACACCATGGCGGATAGTTGTGGCCCATGCTTTGATGCTCGTATTGGGTCATAGAGGTTTGCAAACCTGCCACAAGGATACATTTAGTACACGTAGCCAGATGCTTTGCCACAAGCTTCTCAGGAGGTATCACAAGAGGACACTGTCGTTCACAAAGCTCAATCTTCAGGGTGGTCCTTTTGCAATGTTAGGGTCAATTGGCCCAACCCAGTCTTATCCCTGCCTCAAGCTCTTTTAAGCACATGACAGTGCAATGGCAATGGAACATGTCCGGGGGCACCAAAAAACTGGGGTGTAGCCAGTTGGCACTGCTACTTGACGGCGTCATTTGACCATCCGATCGTGGCGACCAAGCCGCTTGCTGGTTGGTTCGTTGCTTGAGTGTCTAGTATTCGTGGCATGGTTTTCGGTAGGGCAACGAATCGAGTGAATGACGGCAGTCCTGACTTGAGTTTCACCCTCAACCCGACCATCGTGCAAGCGCAAGAACAGGACCTGGCTGGCATGCGTACGAAGATGGCAAAGCAAGTGCTACGAATCCGAACGCTTACGTGCTACGATGGCGACGCTGCGATCTGTCACGTTGAAGCTTTTGAAGAACTGTGATCAGTCCAGACTTATTCAGGGCAGTGTATGTTTATGCATGTGTCCTTGGAAAAACGCAATAATTCACAAAAGAAGCTCCTGGTCATCACATGTCTCTCACACTGCCTGGAACTCGTTCTTTCGGCTCCAGAGGTTGGCATGAGAAGTGGCTCCAGAAATGAGAAAACAGCACTGAGAACTATTCCACATCCTGCAGATGTTAAACTATCACTAAACCACACTAATTATGTAAAAAACCAGCATCACCCTGTGCATGTGATGGGTGAGGATGGAGGTTTTGCCTTCCAAAAAATGGTGGCGGGCCCGTCACCACCACCCGAAGCCCATAGAGTCTATGTTTCTCCGAGGGGCAAGGTTTGGGAGTCGTATCCCAAGCTCAACCAGTCCGAAGTGGACCCAACGCGTTGGAGGGTGGGCCTTTGACAAGTTTTGGGTATAGGGAGACTTGCGCAATGTAAAACATCCCTTGGAAAGTACTGAAGGCCAAAGGTTGCTCCATGTTGTTCGTCTTTCTCCATCACTTTCGGGCAGAATGGTTGTGAAGCAGAGTGATAAATCAACAAAGCTGGAGATCTTCCTGTCACACGGACGTCAGACATGTCATGCGGACGTCGACGACACAAGGCATCTCACCCACAATTCTTGGCGTGGCGAACCGCCCACCAGTCACACCATAAGAGATGGAACTGTTTTGGCACATGCCACGTAGGGCAGCCCGTGCCAATGCGAGCCGGGTGGTTTAGCAATGTCCGTTACTCAGTGGCTGCAGTGTCTCCAGTGGGAGGAGAGTTTATATAAGAGTTCTCCCAACGTCCCCCCTCTCTATGATGCACTGATTTTTCCCTTGTCGCACATTCATAAAACATCCAAGTTTGCCTAAGTCCCTATCATCAATTGCCTAAGTCCCGCTTCATCTCAAGCACAGCTTCCGCATCGCCCCATTAGTCCACATAGTCTAGTGGACTGGTGGATGTTTTGAGAGGGGTTTTCCATCGCTCAGTATGATGGGGGGTTGTGTTTGATGGTGGCTCTGTTGGAGGGCTTCGGCACTCAGCTCACTGAGTGCCGTACATTTCACGATGGAACCAGGTCAGATGGCTGAGCAGCTTTTCCTGGCCATCGTTTCCTGCGATGCGAGACCGATGGAGTTCCGGGGCCTCAAAACGAGTTGACCGGGCCCATACCGGTGACCTGGTCATACAGACAGCACCTTTGGGCACATAGAGTCTGTGTTTGGAAGAAACATGTGTTCAATGCGTGGCCGCTATGTTGCCAAGTAGTATTTGGGATGGCTTTGGGTCACCAAGTTTGACGAGCTTTGAATGAGTCGTTCATTCATGCTGTCTCGAACCAGCTGAAAGGGCTGCTGCTTCTCAGGTGGGTTTTGTGCCTGCTAGCTGCTAGCTTAACTGACGGAGGTGCTATAGGTCAGGTGGGATTGCTCCATTTAGCTGACCACATCCTGCACTCCAATCGCTTTCCACAGTGGTTTGGAGGAAGGACACATGCTTTGGAACATTTATATATCATTCCATCAGTTCCGTTGTGCATCAGCTAGCTAGCTAGCACACCTCCACATGCCTCCTATTCACAAACCAAAAGGCTTGTTTGACACGGGTCACAGTGATTTCCCTCCCCTAAAAATCATTCAAGCAACACCCACGGAGGGTTCGGAAGATGTTATGATTTGTTTGTAGAACAAGAGCATCCTCAGGCTGCACTGTGCTGTGGCGCTGGGTAGTGACTACCGGCGGAGCCGGGTGCCAATGCCTTTAGCCGATGCTCATCAGCACTGGACGGTGAGAAAGGCTGCACTCTTGGCGTATTTTAGCGCACAAAGACCTACTTGTACCCAACCAAAAGCATTTTATACAACATTATAATATTGTAATATAGTCGGAACAACCCTGCAAGATCGTCTTACCCCCTTCTTGGCAGTTTCCACCATTTGATTTGGGGAAGGCGAAGGCAGCTTTAGGCAAACCAATGTCACCCTGAAACGGCACTGCGTCGAAACGGCACTGCGTGATGGAGCAGATAGGTCCCAAAGATTCACCGTCAGCAGAGTGGAGCTTTACCTAGTGGTTTTTGTTTCATTCTGATCTCCTTTGTCTTGCACCATGGGATCAGGGGCCTACTTGAGGTGCAACAGAGCACTGGCAGATTGCCAAATCCTTAGCTGGCAATGACCAAGCTAGCCATTCTTTGCAAGCCCCTCTTGGGTAGAGAGGAATCTGTTCATTCATGCTGCACACTGATCTTGCTCCCTTTCACGAAAGCAGGTTCTGCATTCTGTTGGCAACTGGTGTGGGTATTCAAGGGTACCCGCCGAAGCGAGCTCCTCGTTGCAGCCAGGACTGCTTGCAGCCCTGGCAGGTGCCTCATGTCTTTTCCGCCAGAGGCCCAGCCAACATCTATGGACATCCCTGCCAGAAGGCTAGTCTTTTGACTCATATCATATGTATATATATATATAGAACAGATATTAATAGTTATTTACATTGCTGTTTTGGGCAAGCTCCCGTATCAAGCAACAGCCAGCACCACAGAATCCACAGAATTTGCGGCCACCAGCCTCCCCAAAAGGTAAAAGAGGGCTCCTCGCTGCTTTTCACACCTCGTCAGCCATGTTAACCATGTTGGGAAACATTCTAACTGTGCACAAGTTAGCGAAAGGCCGCATGCCAACATGGCTAAGCATGGCACTTCCAAGCTTTGGTTTCACCAGAACAAATCTTCTCCCAAAGATGCTTAAGGACTTAAGGTGAATCCTTTGGAGTGATAGATCCTTAAGCATCTTCACGCCAGATAGATCCTTAAAATCTGGATCTGAGATTTGCAAGATCCTTTGGAGTGAGATCGGAGTGGATGGAAGAAAGACTGGTGACTAGTCGTGTTTTCGGTGTCACTAAGTGTTACCTTATTTGCTGAGTTTCCATCTGGAAGAGATGCTTATGCCCAGAAGATGGCATATCCCAGGTGTAGATCTCCGTGTCCGTCTCGAGGTTTGCACCGTGGCCATTCTGTTTGGGGAGACCGGCCTTGGCAAGTGCTCAGTGCCCATCATGAGCTTAGGCCACCAGCCGGGATGGATGCAGAGGTTGCTGGATGGAAGATGCATGTATTGCATATTATATTATGCAATGGTGATCGTAAAGTTTGCTCCCTTATGTAGCTATAGGTTTGGGCTAGTCCTGAGTGGATTGTTTTTTACGCTTTGCTTGTGGAAGCATTCAGGTAGGCAATCTTGTGTCATGTTTGGGGCACATGTGCGTTGCCCGAATGGGTGAAATACGATGAGACCTGTCACCATGTACAAGTCGAATTACTTTCAATGGATATCGTCCATCAGCTGTGAGATTGGATCTCTCCCTCTCTATTGATAGCTTTTGATAGCTTAACGATGTTCATGAGTTTTGACCTATGATCCATGGCGCAAACTGCTGAAAGAAGAGACAAAAAAAGGACTCATTACCAAATCGTTCTGTCTTTCACCCCTTCGACTACGGGAGATAACAAGGGGCCGCCAACCTCCTAGGGTGAAACAGAGAAACGGGTGGCAGCCGCACGTCCTGAGATGAAATCGTCCTGAGTGAAGTGGCGACGGGTTTCCGATTCTCGGATGCCCATTCACCGGGGGACATGCCATGGCCATGTCCGATCGGATTTTTGTTTGGAACATCGCGCGGCCAAAGCGGGTGTGGACGAGGGTGGAAGACCACCGGTCGCGCGCCAGCGGGGCGAGGAAAGCACAAGAACACCACCGTGGACGAGCGTGGATCTCGGAGACGCTTTTTGGAAGACGTGCGACGGGAGAAACCGGAAGTTTCCAAAGGCCCAATCTCCGGCGTACGAGCATTTGGCAGCAGTGACACATGCAGATGAATATGTGGTGTCCACAGGATACTTTATGTGAAGGAATCTGCGGCAAGAGCTAGTCACGTCCCGAAGACGGTAGAAGAACACTGCAATCCGAGATCGGAAGGGAACGAACCAAGCATGCTTACTGT